CCGGGCCAGGAGAACCCTGGGACCCTACAGGGGGTACTGCTCCAATGTGGACCCACGAGTGGCCAATGTCTTCACCCTGGCCTTCCGCTTTGGCCACACCATGCTCCAGCCCTTCATGTTCCGCTTGGACAGACAGTACCGGGCCTCTGCACCCAACTCGCACGTCCCACTTAGCTCTGCCTTCTTTGCCGGCTGGCGGATCGTGTATGAAGGTGACCAGGTTTTCCAGGGGAAGGGTGGGGAGCATGCCCTCCCCTAGGTGGGACAAGCTTACTGCCAGGAAGCCAGACTGCTGCAGAGGCCACTGCTAAAATCTCCCCAGGACAGTGGAAACAAGGCAGGTGCCAGCAAGACCCTCAGTCACAGGCCTCCCATCCTCTGTGGAATGAGAGGATTTTTTAAAGGGGTGGAGGCTAATGTCAGATTGATGGGGAGCTCCCCTTCCACTCAAGAAGTGTCTCCCAGCTCCAGCTGCTTCCTGCCTCTCCAGAGCTCTGTTTCCTGACAAACATTACTGAACATACCCAGCTGGCTTGTCCAGCTCTGGGCTAGTTTGGCATCATGTGATAACCCAAGTAGCTTCCCAGAGGCTGGTCCAATCTGTGCTGCTCACATTCCCTGCCACCAGGTGGCATCGACCCCATCCTCCGGGGACTCATGGCCACCCCTGCCAAGCTGAACCGTCAGGATGCCATGTTAGTGGATGAACTCCGGGACCGGCTGTTTCGGCAAGTGAGGAGGATCGGGCTGGACCTGGCAGCTCTCAACATGCAACGAAGCCGGGACCATGGCCTTCCAGGTGAGGGCGCTGTCCGCCTCTTCTCCCAGCTTTGCTCAGGCCAGGCTGCTCAAGGGGTCTGGGAGGACCCTAGTACCTCCCTTCTGACTGGGAACTATCTACAGGATGTACAGGGGTGCAAAGCCATGCAAGGCCAAGGTTGATTTCCCAAAGCACCCCTGGAACACCGCTTGTTGTCCTGCCATGGTTCCCCATCCACTGTAGGGGCTCCAGCTTTAGGTCCACCACAGGACCAGGACTTAGGCCCAGGAGCTGAAAAAGGGAGGCTTGAACTTTCCAAGTAGAAAAAAACGCAATAGGCTTCAAAGGCAGGGAAGAACTGCTCCATTCCCAACACTCTGGCAAGATCCAAGGAGGAAGGCTAAAATCTCAGAGCTACAGAAACATTCCTTGCTCTAAGTGGACAAAGGCAGAGTCTTAGAGGCAGGGAATAGGTGGAATAAAACTAAGGCTGCAGTGACTGTTTGGTGAGGGCACAAATGACTTTATCCCAGGAAAGAAGAAAATGTAGGCACTTTGTTAGTCACTTTCATGTACATTAATTTGTTTTCCCAATCACCTTGAGAAGCAATGATTACAGTCATTTTATAGATGAGGAACTATGTTCAGAGACAGCTAGTAACTTGCCCAAGGTCACATAAATAAGTAGTAAAATTTGAATTTAAATTTACAATTTCTCCTTTCTTCCCCCTGTTCAACCCCAGTAGGGGAAGGCTTTGGCCACTGCCTTGCTCCTTTCTCCTTCCCACCTCCTACCTCCCTGTCTGGAAAGAACCTGAAGGCCCATGTGCCCATGTGTGAAGCAGTGGTGGCACCTCCTACTGCCCACCCCACTTCACACGGCGCCTGGTAGAGCACAGCAGGCACTCGAGAAACCTGAGCTTCTTTCCTTCCTTAAACTTGGGTGCTCTTGGCAGCTAAGGAGCTGTGGGCGCTCCCTGCTGGAGAGCTGAGATCGCTAGCCACCCAAGTTTCCACACTGCGAGTTTCTGCTCCCCGCAATAGCTGTGCCCTCCAGAAATATTATCCTGACACTAGCTCTTACAATCTCCTCTAATCCCTTCCCAAGTCCAACATCAAACTGGGAACTGGACAACCTGGTTTGAGCTCCACTGAACAGTAAAGTGACCCTGAAGTCCATGGTTGCTCAACTTTAGTAAACATAGTAGATATAGTTAGCATGCCATAAAAGTACCTCACAAAGGTGCTGTGAGGGTCCTGAGATATTCACCCAACAGTGCTCAGTATGGTAAAACCCTGTGTGGTTTTCATGTGTTCCGCTGGGGGATGGTGTGTGTGAGTTGTGGTTCAATGGATGATGTTGGGCTGGTGTCCCTTTGGGACATGGCCAAGCTATCTCCTACCTTGATTGTCACATCTTATGATGTGGCTTGGTCCTGTGTGGGATCCTGATGGCTGACAAATTGGTACGGCTGGTCTTTGGAAGTTTCTGAAAACTTTAAAAACTGCTTTATTGAGATACACCATAAAATTCACCCATATGAAATGGACAATTCAATGATTTTAGTGTATTTAGAGTTATGCAGCCATCACCATGATCTAATATCACATCATTTCCACCACTCCCCAAAGAAACCTTGTAAGAACAGTCAATCCCCATCCCGACCCCAGCCCCAATCACCTCTTAATTTACTTTGTGTCTCTATATTGGCCTATGCAGGACTTCTCATATCAATCATAGTGTGCCGTCCTTTTCTGAGTAGATGAATTTTATCCACGCTCTCCATTTGTTGGTTTGTTCATTCATTTATTCTTTCACTCATTCATTCATTCTACAAACCTGATGGAGAGTCTTTTATGTTCTGGGTACCGTCTTACTTGTGTCTAACGAATGCACTCGAGCCCAGTAATAATATCATTAAGTGTTGGATTTGTGGTTATGTGTTTTGGGCTAAAACAGCTTTTTAAGTTAGGACACACTCCTTAGTCTGATGCACACTGAGCACGGTTGTCCACTCACATTTTCAATCAGAGGACAGAAACCTGGTCTTTGGAAGGTTTAGGGCCTCTTCTGCCAGCAGGATCTTCTGGGTCTGCCCAATATTGACTGGCCACAGCTTCCTCCCAGAGGACTGGTGGAGAGAAGCAGAAGCTAATGGGAGGTCAGCAAGACTGAAGCTGCTTCTCCCCGTTCCCCTGCAGGGTACAATGCTTGGAGGCGCTTCTGTGGGCTCTCCCAGCCCCGGAATTTGGCACAGCTTAGCCGGGTGCTGAAAAACCAGGACTTGGCAAGGAAGTTCCTGAATCTGTATGGAACCCCTGACAACATTGACATCTGGATTGGGGCCATCGCTGAGCCTCTTTTGCCGGGGGCTCGAGTGGGGCCTCTTCTGGCTTGTCTGTTCGAGAACCAGTTCAGAAGAGCCCGAGACGGAGACAGGTAAGTGACCCTATCATAAAAGACATTAGCACCAGAGGCAGAGTGGAAAAACACTAGCATTTCAAGACTAAACATTGAAGATCACTGCTCTCTTTAATATCATTTCTTCCAAGTTCACAGGATCTGAAATCAGGAGGCTCTTCTCTGGAAAGCTGGGTTAAAGGAAGAGAGACACTGACCCAGGCAAGGCCCACATTGCCTGAGCCGGAGTCATCTTAAACCCAGGAGGTAGCCTGGCAGCCTCGCTGTTCTGGGTTGGTAGATCCCAGAAAACATGAGCAGAAAGGGCGAAATCTGGTTTCCCTCCAATAAGTTTGTGATTTAAGACCTGACTCCTTATTTGGAGTTGGTATTGCCTGAGTTCAAATCCAGCCCTGGCCACTTAAATTACTGTGCACTGAATACTGGGCAATTTATTTGGCCACTGAATTTGTTTCATTTCTAAGATTCCAATCTTGCAGGAATTTTGTGAGAACTGAATGGAATAATGTATGTAAAGTGCCTGGCACACAACAGGTGCTCATGACAAGGTAATTCCTCCCCAACCTTCACCCACATCTCTTGACTGCCTGGTAGGTTCTGGTGGCAGAAACGAGGTGTTTTCACCAAAAGACAGCGCGAGGCCCTGAGCAGAATTTCCTTGTCTCGAATTATATGTGACAATACCGGTATCACCATGGTTTCAAGGGACATCTTCAGAGCCAACATCTATCCCCGGGGCTTTGTGAGCTGCAGCCGTATCCCCAGGTTGAACCTGTCAGCCTGGCGGGGGAAATGAGGCTTCTGCAGGTAAGGGGAGGCCACCTCCAGCACCCTGGGCTGGGTTAGGCCCTCATATCCTTCCCTGGATGGATGGCTGAGTCCTCTTAGGTCTCTAAGCAGAGAAAACAGAACTTGTCACGAGGGATACCGTACTCTTTCCAAGTGGCTTCCCAATGTACTAGCTTCTGGGCTGACAGTCAATCCCAGGCCCTAGGACTTTGGCGAGGAAATTAGGAGCATCCAACTATCCTCAGTTTGGTCACTAATACCCAAAAACAGCTCCATTTCTAAATGTCCAGTAAATTCCTCACTTATCCGTTCTGTTACTTCCACAGGAGTCTATCCCAAGCCTCCAACTTTTGGAGACAAGGAGAAGGGGAGGACCATGAAGCTGCCTTGTCCCCCTGGAGCAACTGCCGCCTGCTGACGCTTCTGCTGGCTACAGCTCAGAGCTGGGTTCCCCAGCCGGGAGTGAGAGCTGGGGGCTCCTAGCAGCAATGGACCTTCCCGCCGTGGGAGTCTCTTAGGTATTAGGTTATGAATCAGTGCCACGTGCAAAGGCTTGGGAGCCAAGCTATGTTGTCTTGCACCCCAGGCAAGAAAAGTCAGCTGGAGGGTTTACAGCACTTTCTACTGTTTCCCAGCCCTCCCTCCCCTCCCTCACCGTGACTGAGAGACCACTCAGTCCTAGCCTGCAGAGACCCCACAGTCCTCCTCTGAGCCTGAGGCTGGGCAGCATGCTCTGCTTCTACCAATAAAGCACTGCTAAGGGCAGGGGCTGCTGTTTCTGTGTGGGGCTAGGGAGGACGTGGCCTCAGTTCCATGCTTTGCTCCAGGTGTTGAAGAGAAGTGCTGCTAACACGCACGCTGGCACAACCATCTAAGCCTCTCCTGGGGGCTGAATTAGGAGAGCCCAAAGAAACACTGTGGAGTAGGGAAAGGCAGAAAAGAGGAAGGGCAGACATGGTAGGGCCCTGACATTAAGAAGAACACCCCAGCCATACCAGCAACCTGAGCAGACAAACAGCCAACGGAACATCAGTCAAAATAAAAGGGGTTTATGGATTTAAAAAACCCAAAAAACAAAAAGAACACAGTAAAAGATACCAACCAGCTAGCAGAAAGGACTCAGCACTGCCTTCAACCTTCACCTACTCAGAAATAACTCATATCTCAACCTCAGCAAGCCCCAAGCAGTAGAATGAGGCTGCCCTGGAAAGAGGGGGCTGAGACTCACAGGCTGGGGATTTAAGACCCCTCTCACCGTCCACCTTCCTTCCTTCCTTCTTTGGTCTTGCAAGAAGGAAGGCTCCATTTTTAAAGGCTGGAGAACAGCAGATCCCTGCATCCCCCTGCTACTGTGAGACAAGCCAGAAAAGTGAGTCAAGGCCACACTCACTATGGGGTCACCCCAAACAGCTTCAGACCAAAAAGCCTGCCTTGCTGTGATGCCCATTTACAGTGACTACAAACATGAAGGGGGGGCCACAGGGTCTCTGGCTTTATTTCCCCAGGGTAGGGAGAAAACCCTGCAGAAGGCTAGGCAGAGGGGCCAGCTGGGAATTTCCCAGCTCTTCTGGTTCCCAGCAGACCAGCGTGGTCTCTAGTCAGACAGACGAAGAGGCAGGAGAGCACTGGCCTCAAACATCCCCCATCTTGTCCTCTTGCACTGTGGCCCAGGGCTGCTGTGAGCTAGGAGACCAGGGTTCCAGAGGGGCTCACTAGGTCCTGCGGGAGGCTTTCCCGGGCCTCCTGCATGCGGCGCCGGGCTCGACGGAAGGCCTCTGTAAGGAAAGGAGATACGGTATTTGGCTGCCCAACAGGCCCATGCTGACCCGGGGTGGCCAGCTTGGGGAGGGGACATACCCAGCACATTGTGAATGGAACTCTGCTGGCTGAACCCTTCCAGACGGTCCAACACACTCCGCATCCTTTTCCGAAGGGAGCTTGATTCCATGAAGGCCCTGCAGGGAGGCCAGCCACATGGTTACGGCTGTTCTCCACCCCTCAGGGATAAGGTGCCCCGAGGCAGAGGGCCAGGTCCCTCACCTGGACTGCTGCAGACAGTGCAAGCGGAAGGTGACGGTGCCTGTGGTCTCTGTGCGGAGTCCAAAGCGGCTCAGGCGTTCCCCCTGCGGCATGCCATTGGGAGAGCATCAGGTTTCTGCCGTCTCTAGACAGCCCCGCAGTATGCTGGCCTCGCCCCGGTTCTTATTCCCATTCTTAGGAAGCACAGTTCTGTTGGGGAAACCTTATTCCATCACCCAGACTCTATTACCTCAAGGCTAATACTGGGCTACTGGGCTCCCCCAACTACACCAGGGAACATTCCAACCTCATCTGAGAGGCAGCGGTCTTACATGCTTACTGTGAATCCTTCCCACATCTGATTACTGAGGCCTTCAGTGACGGGGGAAAGAAAGAGCCCGTTATTCTGATGGGGACCAAGGGAAATCTCTAACTATACTATTTTCCAGAGACCTCCTATGATAGCAGTGTAGATATTGGAACCTGGTTCAAAATGTGGTCCTGACTTCCAGCTTAAGCCATAGGAAGGAAGCGGCTAATATTGAAGCAATGCACAACTAAGGGGTGTTGACCCAGATCCCACCTCCTACAGAACAGAAGGACAGGACCATCAGTTCCCAGCATGAAGTCGCTCCAAAGACAAAAGTCACCTTGAAGGATCCTGGTATCCGCACATAGGAGAGGTCCTCCAGTTCCAGAGAACCGCCAATGAAAAACCTCCTGAGCTCAGCCACCATGCCAAGCTCCACAGGTCTCCATGTGGAGACTGTCAGGGTGTGTGAGCCTGCGTAAGGGAAGAGGAGACTGGGGCCGGGTCCAGAAAGGGCATGTGGCCCCTCACTGACTCCCCAGCAATGACACAGGCCTAGACTTCGCTAAAACACCTGGTCTGGTGATGACCTGGCCTCTGGTGAAGGTTGTCATGGTTACCCATAGCACCTGTTTGGAAGTCAATCAGGGAGAAATTCAAATTTCTGCTCTGCCAGTTATTCCCTGCATACCCAGGACAGGTTTCTTAACCTCCCTGAAGTTCATTCTCCTCATCTAGTAAAATGGAAATAATACCACCTGCACCGCACAGAGTGGCTGGGAGAATTAAGTGAGAAGTATGGCACAATGCCTAGCACACAGTAGAAGACAGATGCTTTTATTCCAAACTGAATGCTGCTTCATTCCATACACACATGCTATGAGCTGATTTTGCCATACAGCTTCTCACCCTGAGTCCAATCAGAGGAGCACGAAGCACATGGCAAGACTGTCGGGAAGTCAGCGCCAAGGCCACGCTATTGTCTCTAGTGGAGTGGGGCAGATAGTCCTCAGAGGAACAGGAACTCTTTCAAGCCAAATGCTTCTAATTCCCAGCTATCCCCACCCCTCACCAGAAGCATTCGAGTGTTAGTCTTGCTCGTAGGGCCTAGGGCATGTGAGCCACGGAAGGGCGGGGACAAGCGGTTACCTGGAGTGGCAGGCAGCACCACAGCCCCATAGCCTTCCACACGGTACCTCTGCCAGAAGTCCAGCGAGAGGACCTCACAGTAGAGCACAGGCCACTCCGGGAGTGCATCTGGGAGAAACGAGAGAAGCGGCCAGGTCACAGGCGGGCCTTCACCAAGACAGCACTGCTTGAGGGGAACCAAGGCCCAGGATCAACTGCTGAGCTACTCACCAGAAGATTCATCCTCATGGAGGAAGAAGGCTTCAAATGTGAATGGGTAGGAGAAGTGAGCCACCTTGTCCTATAAAAAGGAGTGTCATAGGGTGGGCAAGCCCTCCCTTGGAATTTGTTCTCCTTGTGGCCAATGACAAGGTTATCTTCACAAGGGAAAAAGAAAAATTATCACCCAGGTGGGAAATAGGAGTCTGAGATGCAAAGGGACACCCGAAGACAAGCTGCTGCCATGCTCAAAAAGGCAGAGAGGACCTCCGGGCCAGGTAGCCCTGCAGAACCCACATACAAGTCACCCAACTCAGAATCCTCCCCAGGGTGCACAGCACTTGGCCTGACAAAACCTCAAATGCCATCCCAGGAGCAGATCTCATTCCCTTCCAGATACCCGCTCTCATTCTCCATACCACTCCCAGGGACTTGGTGGTGCATGTCTGTGTTACTCCTGAGAGCTGCTGGAATGCTGGGCTTGACCAGTCTGAAAGCCAAAGAACAAATATAGTAAGCTCACCTGGGAGGAAAGCAAGTCGTTCAGAAAAAGACAAAGTTTCTTTATTCATTTATTCACACAATCTATCATTCATTTATCATTTACTGAGTGCCTGCTATGTGCTAGTATATCTTAGGGGTATCTTGGTAACTAGATAGAAAAGATCCCCATCTCTCATGGAGCTGACATTCTGGGGGAAGCAGGGAGACAAAAAACAAACCAACAAGAGACTATTGGGTAGTGATGAGTGCTCTATTCAAACAAAACGGGAAGGGACTGAGTGACTGGGAGGCTCATTTAGGCCGGGTGGTAAGAGAAGGCCTTTCAGAAGTGACACAGGTTGAGACCTAAACTCAGAAAGAACCAGCCATGCTAAGATATGGCAGAAAGGGTTTCAGACAAAGGAAATGGCCCTTACAAGGTTCTAAGGGGGGAATGAACCTGGCTGGGAAGAACGACTGAAATGTTGTACGGAAGAGATAGGCAGAGGCTCATTCAGGGTATTGAGTTTACATTTTATTCTAAGTGGGAGGCGAAGCTCTTGGGGGTTTTCAGCTCAAAAGGGACATAACTTGTTTACATTTTTTAAAACTCAACTTGGCTTTGGTGTCTGTGGCAAATGAACTGCAAATGGGAGCAAGGCAGGAAGCAGGGGGATAAGTCAGAAGTTGAATGCATTGGCCTAGACAAGAGACGGTGGTGGCTTGGTGTAGGGTGCTGGAGAGAACAGACAGGTTCACAACAGCTTTCGAAGACAGAATGCACAGGAACTGTTGACAGGTTGGCTGGCTATAGGGAGCTAGGGAAAGTGAGGGATCAAGGATGTCCCCTAGGTTTTTGGCATCAGCAACTCAGATACTGCCATTCTGTTAGGATGGGGAATACCAGGGAGGAGAGGTTTGAGGGAAGAGGAGGAATCCAGAGTTCTCTTTGATCATGTTAGACAGAAATGACAAAGAGGTAACTGGATACGAGTCTGGCGTCCAGGCTAAGGCTGGAGGCAGAAACCTGGGAGTCTGAGACACATCGATGGTATTTAAGCCATGGGATGGATGAGGTCACCCAGGAAGACTGCAGACAGAGAGTAACAGAAGGCCTTGGCTTAGCCATGGGTACCCTCACAGTGTAAGATCAGCAGAAGAGAAGGCATTACCCAAGGAAGGTGAGGGGCCACCAGTGAGACAGGAGAGAGAATGTGGAGCCAGAAGCCAGAGAAGTGTGTCATGCAGCACAGTGGGCTCTGGCAAATGCTCTAGGAAGGTCAAGCGAGGTGAAAGCAGGAAAGTTCCCACTGGGTTTGGCAAAGTGGATGTGATCTACAACCTTGAAAAGAACAGTAACAGTTTCAGCAGAGGAGTGGGAAAGGAAGCCTGACCAAATGCCTCTACATCTGTCTGAATGGGTATAAAAGAGAGACTTAAGAATATTACTTACAAGTAGTTGGCAATTCCACAAAGAAGTGGACGTAGAGATTGTCATACTCATAGCCTTGGGCTGAAACTAAGAGAGAAAACAGGAAGCTATTTTAGCTTTTTATCCTACCACCCTTAGCACCCAACCCAGTCCTGAGGGTCCAACACACCCTGAGAGCAAGTCTTTTGAGGGCCAGGAACCCTCTGCATTTCCAGGAAAGACTCACCACTGAGTTTCCCAAGTACAGCAGACAAGACCTCTACCAGGGTGGAGGAGACTATTCACGGCTACATCTAGGCACGTGCCTTAGCATCAAGAGATCTATGCTAGCAAGACACTTACCTACCTCTCCATTTACAAAGAGCCGGAGGGCACCTGGGACAGTCTAAGGTGAAGAGAAGTGGGAAAGGATCAGCAGGCCTGAAGGGAACTGGCACTTCTCCTCCAGCCTCATCTACAAATCTGCAGATATCCTGACACTGGGGGTCAGATCCTGGGTGTCACTACTGCACTTTCTCCCCACCCTGACACTTCTCCACAGATCTGTTTCCTTCATTCCTAAGATACATAATGTAAGGGGAAAGTACATAATTTAAATGGCAGTAAGGACAATGCACTATGGGAAATTAGCCAAGCAACAGCAACTGCCCTGTGGTGTGCAATAGGAAGCCAGAATGCCCGGTTCCCTTTACACAGCTGAGGTCAAGAAACCAGGGAGTTTTCTTTTTTAATTATTTGTGCATCTGTCTTATCTAACTTTTAAATACTGAATATCTGTTGCTTATGCAATATGGAAACAGTGAATGTTAATTTTTCAGAGAAAGAGAGGGAGACCAGTAATTCTATCCTTGTTTCCAGGTCTAGCGATGGAACACTTAGAACGAGAAAAGACAAAGAACAGCACGACAGAATAGCTGAACTAAACCACTTTCTTTTTTTTTTCAGACAGGGTCTTGATCTGTTGTCCAGGCTGGAATGCAGTGGTGTGATCATAGCTCAGTGCAAACTCAAACTTCTGGGCTCAAGCAATCCTGCTGCCTCAGCATCATGCATAGCTGGGACTACAGGCATGTATCACCATGCCTTGCTAATTTTTTTTTTTTTTTAATTTTTGTAGGGATGTGGTCTCACTATGTTGCCCAGGCTGGTCTCAAACTCCTGGCCTCAAGTGATCCTCCCACCTTGGTCTCACAAAGTGCTGGGATTATAGTCATGAGCCACCACGTCGGGCCTATATTTTTTAAGAGCCAAAATATGTGACAAACAGAAATGGCACCCCTGCCTCTCTATGGGGTATTTTGAAAAAATATCCACATGAAAGGTGAAGAAGACATTTTTCATCCTTATATTTATTTTCTAAATTAATTATAAAGTAATACATAAATACATTACCACTGATAAAAATTCAAAACTACCTGAGTTTAGGGAATAAAAAGCAAAAATCCCTGATATATCCCTCTCACTACCCACTACCCATCTACCACATCTAATCCCACCCTCCCCAAAAAAGCCACCCACAGCATATGCGTAGCCTTTCAGGCCTTTTTCTCGGCATTAACAGTTCTCTATCAACATGCAATGTTGCAAAACACATAACAAGGACTATATGTGCTATTCTTTGACTTCCTTTTCACACCGTAGAGTATACCTTGGAGGCCTTTAAGAGAAGTGCTGTAACCCATCCACAGTCAGAATGCTCCGGCTAAACACAGCTCACAGTGCTGCAGGAAGCCAAGCTACTCACCATCTCAAAGTCAGTGCCTACGAGGCTGCTGAGATACTCCTTGTGCCGGCCATAAAGCTGAGGAAACAAACCAAACCAAAACTCAAGATGTAACCCAAGCTAGACCAAAGTTCAGTTCTGAACAGGAAGAAGAAGAAAAGCAATAGTGGGAAGGATCATCAAGAGCTGGAGGCACAAGCACCTGACCCACCGCCATTTTACTGTGAAGCAGAGGCCCTGGAGTCAGCTGGTCTGGGGCAGAATCCTGACTCTCGCGCTTACAAGCTATGTAACCTTGGGCAGACTACTTAGCTCCTCAATCTCGGTTTCCCCACTTATAAGGTAGTAATAAGAAAAGTGTTCACCTCAAAGGGTTGTTGTAAGGACTAAAGGAAATAAGGTATGTAAAGTACCTAGCACAGAACATGGTAAATGCTCAAATAAATGGTTATTGTTATTATTATAATATGATCAAAAACTTCTGATATGTCAGCAATGCCGCCTAAGTCAGAAGGGGCTATGAAGGGCAAGGCTTTTCCCAAGCAACTGCTGACATCAAGTCCAGAAACGGTCTCAGCTCCAGGCACTGAGGCTCGTCCCTTCGATACTTGGAATGAACTCGCACTCACATCCTTGAACACACGCCGTTCCCGCTCCTCCTCCTCTGGCTGTGCGAGGGGGGAAACATTGTCGATCGTATATTTCCACAGCTCCTGCTTCTCTCCCTCCGTCTCGATCCTGTAAGGTCAAAGCCACAGAAAGGAGCGACTCTAATAATGAGAGATGGGCCTGGGGATAGCTCCCAGCCCAGGGAAAAGCGATCAGGGGCCATACACCTCACTTGAAGTAAATGATGATAAAAATGGCTGTATTGATGACCAGGAAAGAGAAACAAAAGGATAAAGCAGTGAGGGCACCAGACTAGACTCAGACAGTATAGGTTCTGGGCCCATTTCTGGCCTGAAGTTATAGTCAAACTGTAAGGCACAACATTCCTGCCACCCAGTTCTTTCACCTGAAAAATGGACAGGTTGGTCCAGATAATTTCTAATTTATACTTCTGTCATTTTCAAGATACAGAGATGAGGAACAGTGAGCCCACAGGAAAAGCCTGGCTGAGTTCACCCCACTCTGTTCTGGTCAGGTCCTACATTCAACAGCACGGAGAATCACTGTCACTTAAATGTATCACTGAAGTGATCCCTTTCAAATTGGTGCAGCTGCACATTTTCTGAGAAAGGAGTTCCCGGTTTCCTAAGGCCCATGACTTGGAACAGAATACGAACCATTGCCTGGGAATGTAAAAGTTAGAACGGATGAAGGACTTTCTGACAGTCTAGTTGACTAGGGACAAGAAGTGCAACCAAGGGAAGGAATGTCAGTCTCCACTACCCCTTTCTTCCTCTCCTTACCTGTAGGGTCCTTTGAGGCCCGTGAAATCAGGCTTTACTGTGATCACACCATTGCTATCCACCTTCAGAGTACACAGGACGTGTTCATACTTCTTATAGCCAAGCCTAGAAATCAGGAAAACACTAAGGTTGAGGTCAATGGTCCTCCAGGGAAAGAGGAAGAGACACTGAGCCCACTTCAGGGGAGAGAACAGAGGCTATAGGGAGAGCTGTCATGGTAAAACTTTCTTCCACGTACAACTAAGAAAAAAAGGAAGAAAAAGTCCTCCCTCTTCTTTAATACAGGATGATAAGAGGAAGGGGATAGCTGGTGAGAAGAGAAGAGGATGAGGATCTGAGGTGGCAGCGAGAAGTTTCACTCGCAACTAAGAACAAAACGAAGAAAAAGTCCCTCCCTCCCCTATAACCCAGGATGATAATAACAGGAAGGGGAGAGCTGGTGAGAGGAGAAAAGGATGAGGCTCTAAGCTGGCAGTGAGAAGCGCCACTCACTTTTTATAGGGCCCCAGGTCTGCCATGATGTGCATTGTCTGAAGAGGGGTGTTAATGACGTGGTTGTTCCTGACGAACTCCTCTGAGGGCTCCCAGGTGACAAGGCGTGACTTGAGGATGCCGCCCTCCCTGGGAGACACCGCAAAAAGGTCACTTCCTCGGCACACCCCAATGGAGCACACCCCAGTGGAGAGCCATGGCAGAATGGGAAGTTTGAGCTGGTGGACAAACTGCTTTGTTTTGTTTTTTAAGAGTCAAAATATTTGACAAACAGAAATGACATCCCTTCCCTCTCTCTGAGGCACTTTGGAAAAATGTCCACATGAAGAGTGAGGAAGACATTTTATATTTTTATTTATTTTTATTTATTTATTTATTTTGAGATGGAGTTTTGCTCTTTTTGCCCAGCCTGGAGTGCAGTGACGCGATCTCGGCTCACCGCAACCTCTACCTCCTGGGTTCAAGCGATTCTCCTGCCTCAGCCTCCCGAGTAGCTGGGATTACAGGCACGCGCCACCACACCTGGCTAATTTTGTATTTTTAGTAGAGATGGGGTTTCTCCATGTTGGTCAGGCTGGTCTTGAACTCGCGACCTCAGGTGATCCGCCCGCCTCGGCCTCCCAAAGTGCTGGGATTACAGGTGTGAGCCATTGCACCCAAGCGTATTTATTTTTTAAATTAATCATAAAGTAATACTTGAATACTATATATAACCACTGATAAAAATGCAAAACTACGCAACTTTAGGAAATAAAAAATAAAAGCTTGCCCCCCATCCCATGCCCGCACTCACATCCCTCGTCTGTCCTGCCGGCGCCGCCTGACGTTTGCCATTCGCTCAACCAAGAATGAAGGCACCTCGCTGGCTGCAGTGGTCATTCTCTGACAGTGCTGGGAAAAGCAAGTAGCCCTGCGTAAGCCATCTGGTCAGCGCCACATGGGGCCAAGTACCTGAAGGGAAGTCTTCCTTCTGAAACCTCATCCAGGACCTGAACCCTGCAGGTTCCGCCACCTCACAATTATACATGCTAACAGAGGAAGCAGTGGCCAAACAACCCAAAGAAGATTTCTACCACATCGTGGTGTGCCTTTGGATTTTAAAAATGAGTTATTTATGTTAATATTAAAATCAGTCTGCATTCTCTGAGCACAAACCAACAAAATGTTGGGTTAGTTTGCTTGGTAGATGTTGAAGTTAAACAAGGTGGTTAGAAAATGCCAAATGGGATACAAGTATTTTGTGGGAAATCCTCACATGGTAACTGAGCACCAACTGCATTTTCATCTGCTTTTCCAAAACAGACAACCCAAAGTTAATTTAATTGATATTACTTTTTAAAGAGACAGTGTCTCACCCAGGCTGCAGTGTGCAGTGCTGCTATCATAGCTCACTGCAACCTTCAACTCCTGGGCTCAAGTGATCCTCCCACCTCAGCTTCCCAAGGAGCCAGGACTACAGGTACATGCCACCATGACCAGCTAATGTTATCAATCCACAGCTCTGCTAATGAAAGCATGTCAATCTTTCAAAAACATTTATTGAATACCTGTTCCTTGCAGAGACCTACAGAGTCATAGACAAAAAATAAAAAAATATAGGCTGTACCCTCAAGGAGTTTAAAATCTTACTGAGAAGACAGAAGCAACTGAAATGCAGTGATTGAAGAAAATGCAAAACAAGGTCACAAGGGTATTTTTGTCATTGGCAAATTGAGGACATAAGTCATTTTCCACAGCTATACTAAACTCTTCTTCAAACCCATATACTCAGAGTTTGGGCCAAATCCCCTGATGAATTTTATCTAGATTGTTCCAGACTCCACCACCTGTCTTTTTTCATGATGCATGGAGGAAGTCAAGCCCAATGGTTACTTCTCCCAGTATGCACTCTGCAAGTGTATAATCAGAGAACTGGCAGCTCCTCCAGGCCCTCCAGCAGGCAGAGAAGGGAGCAGCAGCCTCACCACCTGTAGACTGTGCCCATTCTATTGCAGGCTGGCTGCCAGCAGCAGCAGCTCACAGCGGTTCCTAGACAGGCTACCTGTCTCCCCTTACTAGGCTTCTGACATAACACAAGAATCCAGTGAGGCAAAAAAGCTAGAGGAAGCAAAGAGGGAAGCTATGAGACCCTGGAAAGAATAATACCTCCTCCAAATTGGTGTATCTATCAGAGTCAGTGTAGGTAAAGATTCGTCGGTTCTTCTTGCCACCTGAATTCTCCAGCTTCAGGATCTCCTGACGGTACTGATAATCCAAAGGACTCTGACAGGCTGCTTCATTTTGGTACAGATCTACTTCAAACTGAGGTTACCATAAGGAAACAGAGATGTGTACATCATTATAATACAGCAAACTTTTGCTTCTGTAACTATTTAATCAAATCAGTTCTACAGAGCTGATGCTATCTGACACGTTTTCATAACCAACACTAAATTAATGGATGGCAGGGGAACCAAGAACATTAGCCCTAAAAGGAACCAGACTGATAGTCTAATCCAAATCTGTGATTACAGATGGCATATAGCCCAGAGATGAAAAGTGCCTCACCCAGAATCATAAAACTGAGTAGTGGCAATCCCTGTTACACTGCCCTTTAAACACAACAGGGCGAAGTATAAACCGTTACAACCTGTCTGGAAATCACTTTGGCAATATGTATCACCAGTCATGTGGAGGCAGACCAGGTGGAACAGACAGAGCAGACAAAAGACACTGGCTCACCTGGCTAAAGAGCTTCTCCTGCCACCCAATCACAATCTCCTCCTCTTCGTCTTCCTCTGGGCGGTGTCCACCTCCAAAGACAACAGAGTGAGTCAAATGCTTGAGCCGAACCAGCACCACTTCTTGCTCTGTGGTTGATTATAACCAGAGTTCCTATTCGTATATTTGCCACAAAAACCAGCTGGAATTCAGCAATTTATTAAGCACTCAACCTAGAGAAATGCTAGAGAGGCTGTATATAAGAGTTAGTATGAGTGGAAGCCAAGATTAGAACCCAAGAAGTCTTAATCACTACTCTAATTTGAGTAAAAGAAAATACCCTCCAGGAATTTTTTTGGGGGTGGGGGGGATGGACTCTCACTCTATTACCCAGGCCGGAGTGCAGTGGCACTGTTTCAGCTCACTGCAACCTCCATCTCCTGGGTTTAACGATTCTCCTGCCTCAGCTTCCCAAGTAGCTGGGATTACAGGCACATGCCACCAACCTGGCAAATTTTTGTATTTTCAGTAGAGATGGGGTTTTGCCATGTTAGCCAGGCTGATCTTGAACTCCTGACTTCAGGTGATCCACCTGCCCTGGCCGCCCAGAGTGCTGGGATTACAGGTGTGGGCCACTGCGCCCAGCCTCCTCCAGGAAATATCTAATCTAACTGGATATAAGAAATTGAAATTTAGGGGCCGGGCGCAGTGGCTCAAGCCTGTAATCCCAGCACTTTGGGAGGCCGAGACGGGCAGATCACGAGGTCAGGAGATCAAGACCAGCCTGGCTAACACGGTGAAACCCCGTCTCTACTAAAAAATACAAAAAACTAGCCGGGCGAGGTGGCAGGCGCCTGTAGTCCCAGCTACTCGGGAGGCTGAGGCAGGAGAATGGCGTGAACCCAGGAGGCGGAGCTTGCAGTGAGCTGAGATCCGGCCACTGTACTCCAGCCTGGGCGACAGAGCGAGACTCCGTCTCAAAAAGAAAAAAAAAAAAAGAAACTGAAATTTAGATATAAGCTGAATAGCCAGCCCTTCCGCAGTCCAAACTGTCTGCGTTTGCTAGAAAATAACCCTGGCATTTTTATCTTTACTATTTCTAAAGCCATATATGTAGTATCACAAACACTGAAATTTAGGAGGCCAAGTGTCAGGAGAGGACAGTGAAGGCAAATAAATGATTTTTTAACAGAACCAAATCTGGCTGGACGCAGTGACTCGCGCCTGTAATCTCAACATTTTGGGAGGCTAAGGTGGAAGGATCACTTGGGCCCAGGAGTTTGAGACCAGCCTAGACAACATAGCAAGACCTTTTCTCTACTAAAACTTTTAAAAAATCAGCCGAGTGTAATGGTGTGAGCTTGTAGTCCCAGCTACTTGGGAGGCTGAGGCAGGAGGATGGCTTGAGCCTGGGAGACCAAGGTTTACAGTGAGCTATGATCATACCACTGCACTCCAGCCTGAGTAACAGAATGAGATTCTGTCTCAAAACAAAACACAAACAAAAACAAAGAAAACAAATCTAATCTAATACACTCTTGGCTGGCTGAGTATGCCTTTTTCAGAGACACATGTTTCACAACCCGCAAGCCCACACTCTTGCCCAGGAACAGCTCTGAACAGAAAGAGAAACAATAAAGGCAGACAGACTAGTGACCTGACACAACCACTCTGTCCTCTCCTCCTCATTCTTTCGGTTTCCCAGATAAGGAAAACCACAAGAATATAGTTGATCTTCATATGCACATTATATGTATATTTTTCAAGCAGTCCCCAGTTTAAAAATTGTTTTTTAAAGTGTTTATATGTGTATTTAGAGTTTGGGACACGTTTTCTCTTTTAAAAATGCCACAAATAGAATGTAGATTGCCAGGCAAATCTATAACGTATCAGAAGTATAGTACATGTTATCTCACTACATTTGGCCACAATTCTGATTAGTATCAGAATTAGTAGTAGATGGCACATCATCACCGTAACACCCACTGGCAGTTGGCTGAGGCCTAAAAGTGGCCAAGTCTATGAGGTCCTTCCAGAGCTCGGCAGCAGGCTGATAATGAAGAAAGTTGCTTGATGTGATTCTTTGCAGGTGAACCCTGTCAAGAAAAGCCCAAAATATTTGTTACCAGACACGCAACCAGGAGATGAACACAAAGCAAGGATTGGGGAAACAAAACGGAGGAGGTGGGGTTGCCAAGGTGTGCTGGGTGCAGACAACGGAGAGGAGGTGGGTGGGTGCGCGGTCCTATGGGGAAGACTGAGGGTGAGAGGGTGTACTGGGGACACAGGGCTCTGAGAAACTGGGAGCAACAAGGACGTGAATGGACTTGGGTGGGTCTGTAAGGGGTTCTTGGAGACTGTGAGTGGATGGGGGTACGGATAGTGAAAGAAGGGGGGAGCCCGGAGAAGAAGTGGTCGGGATTGTAAGCAGAAGTGGGGGCCTCGGAACACCGAGTTCAGGTTGGAATGATCTAAGGACATAAAACCATGGGGCCTCGGGGCTGGGGCGGTGTGACTACCGGAGGCGCAAGTTGCGCACGGGGTCCCGGGAGCGATACACTGCCTCCCCGGTGTCAGTGCTCCAGACGGTCTCCGCCATGACAGCTGCGACGCGCCGCGACTGCGCCGGAAAGCGCGCCGCTCTGTTTTCCCGGCAACAGAGACTCTGGATCGGGAGGCGACGGAGGTGCTGCGCGCGCAACCCGCCGTTCTCGTCACGGCGCCACAGTCCCAGTAGGCCCCCAGTGCAAGTGCAGCCCAAGCCTAACGCCCAAGAGGGCTCCGGGGTCCTGCCAATCACCGCTTACCATGTATGCGAGAAAAGCTCACCCAAAGCGGGACCTCGTGCACGGTGCAAATGAGGAAACTGGCACAGCCATCAGCCCACCTCATATAGCCAGATGCAGAAATGATGATGGAGACCAGGTGATCTGAGTCTTCGCCCTCTACCTTTTCCACCATGCCACAGTGCCTTCCACTGAACGCATGAAAACTTTGGCCTGAAAATCGGTGGATGTAACTGTAAGAAATGCACCCATTATTCCCAAAGGAGTCAGGGAAGGTGACGGCCCTTAGCCAAACAAGAAAATACATTCTCGGAGGACAAAAAAGTGTGTCAGAAGATTTATTAGTCTTTGTGTTGATATTCTCTGAACAAAGAAAGAAAAAACAAGGAAGTCAACAGTAAGGAAGGAAAAGATGTTATTATTGAACTAGTTCTTACCTTGTGTGTGTTAGTTTTGGATCATTAAAACACTTCAGATACTGCACGGGCTTCCTGAAAAGCCAAAAAAGTGACATTAAGAAGTCATGCTTCGTTGGACTAGCAAAGGAAGGACATGCTGTAACCTCACGTCTGGCGCCCTGGCGCCTTGGGAATGTCAACATTTATCAGGCTTTTTCACATCTGGTCCTCCTCCAACAAAGTAAGCAATTGTCCCCTGAACTCAGGAATCTCATGCCAGTTTGATGATTTGGCATTGGAAGCTCTGGGTGCCATAGCCACTAGTTGTGTAACACCAACTCACCATAAATAGCACCATTTATTTAGGATCTAGTGCAGCTTCAGCACTTTGTTTTCATTGTCCCAAATCCTTGTAGAAGCCTCTCAAGAAGGTATTTTTGTTCACTTTAAGAGTGAAGTTCGTGAAGGCCAGGGTTTAAAGGACTTGCTAAACTTGGAAGTGGTGAAAGTACTAGGATTCCAGCCCAAGTTCTTCTGTCTTTTGAAGCCTAACCACCTTCCACTTTGCCTCATGGCTTCTCACCTACTAATTTATTCTATAAATGCACACATTTCCAACCTGGAAAATAATAATTTTAACAGATTTTTAAAAAGGCATCTTTCTAGCTCCTAAGAAATGGTCTCTCTAATGTTTCCTTTTGTGAGTAGGCAATCTGTGCCACATGCACAACAGCTGATAAAGTGGAGCTTGATTCTAGTTTAATTTTATAACCAAATCCAATGTACAACAAAGCTAATCTGACATAATTATATGCAAAATAGTTTCTATATCACATGGTATGGAGATATAAGCTATTTGTCAAGTAAGCAACCATAATTAGTATTATTTTTATATAGGTAAACTAAGTTTTCATATTTTGTTTACTGATTTCTATGAATCAGGATCCTTTTATGTTTAAATATTCAGTTTATTGGTCTTAAGTACATTGTTTTGCAACCATCATCACCATCCATTACCACTACTTTCTTATTTTTGAAAATTGAAACTCTGTTCCCGTTAAACAGTAACTCCTGATCCCCCTCTTCCAGCCCCTGGCAACTACCATTCTACATTTTCTCTCTATGAAATTTGACTACTTTAGATACCTAATCCATATTGTCGCATGTGTCAGGATTTTTTTTTTTTTTTTTTTTTTTTTTTACTTTTAAGTTCCAGAATACATCTACAGAAAGTGCAGGTTTGTTACATAGGTATACATGTGCCATGGTGGTTTGCTGCACCTATCAACCCATCAGCTAGGTTTTAAGCCCCGAATGCATTAGTTATTTGTCCTAATGCTCTCCCTCCCCTTGCCCCCTACTCTGCCACAGGCCCCAGTGTGTGTTGTTCCCCTCCCTGTGTCCATGTGTTCTCATTGTTCAACTCCCACTTATGAATGAAAACATGCAGTGTTTGGTTTTCTGTTCCTGTGTTTGTTTGCTGAGGATGATGGCTTCCAGTTTCATCCAAGTCCCTGAAAAGGACATGATCTCATTCCTTTTCATGGCTGCATAGTATTCCATGGTATATATGTACCACATTTTCTTTATCCAGTCTATCACTGATGGGCATTTGGGCTGGTTCCATGTATTTAATATTGTAATTAGTGCTCCAATAAACATACATGTGCATGTGTCTTTATAGTAGAATGACTTGTATTTCTTTGGGTATATACCCAGTAATAGGATTGCTGGGTCAAATGGTATTTCTGGTTCTAGATCCTTGAGGAATACCCACTCTGTCTTCCACAATGGTTGAACTAATTTATATTCCCACCAACAGTGTAAAAGTGTTCCTATTTCTCCACAGCCTCACCACAATCTTCCTGACTTTTTAGTGATTGCCATTCTGACTGGTGTGAGATGGTATCACACTGTGGTCTTGATTTGCATGAACCAGGATTCTTAAAACTGAGGTGCATGAGTGGGATTCAAGAAGTCTATGAATCCTTACCCTAGAATTCTGAATGGGGGATTTTTCTAGAAAGAGTTCATAGCTTTTATCAGATTCTCAAAGGAGTTTGTACCCTGATACCAAGAATGGCTTGGGCCAGGCACAGTGGAGTTTAGACCCAAGAGTTTAGACCCACCGGGGCAACACAGGGAGACCCTGTCTCTAAAAATAAAAAATAAAAAAATTAGCCGGGTTTGGTGGTGTATACCTGTGGTGCCAGCTACTTGGGAGGCTGAGGTGGGAGGATCACGTGGGCTGAGGAGGTTGAGGCTGCAGTGAACATAATTTAAAAGGAAGAAGTAAAATTGTGTTTATCTACATACAATATGAACCTAAACAATCCTAAAGAATCTACAAAAATGCCAGCAGAACTAATAGGGTTACAGAATACAAGGTCAATATACAAAAATCAATGGTATTTCTATATACTAGAAACAAACCATTTGAACTTGAATTTTAAAAATCACAACCACTTACAGTAACATCAAAAAGAACAAAACAGAAAATTAACAAAACATGTGCAAGCCTTGTACACTTAAAATGTCAAAACATTGGTAAGATGAAAACCTGGATAAAGTAGAGTACTATAACATGTCCATGGATTGGAAGAATCTATATCATTAAAATAATTATCCTCAAGATGATCTAAATCTCAGTAAAAACCCCACCAGGTTTCTTTGTAGAATTGACAGGCTGACTCAACATCTACATGGAAATCCAAAGGAGTTACATGGTTAAAAGAATTTTGAAAAAGAAAAAAGAACTTATATGACCTGATTTCTAGACAATATAAAAGTACAGTAATCACTACAATGTGGTATTGTCATAAACACAGACATATAGATTGATGGAACAGTGTAAAGAGTCCAAAATAGGCTGAGCAATGTGGCTCACGCCTGTAATCCCAGCACTTTGGGAGGCTGAGGCAGGAGGATCAAGAGATTAGGAGATCGAGGCCATTCTTGCCGATATGGTGAAACCCTGTCTCTACTAAAAATACAAATATTAGCTGGGCGTGGAGGCATGCACCTGTAATCCCATCTACTCCGGAGGCTGAGGCAGGAGACTTGTTTGAACCTGGGAGACTGCAGTGAGCCGAGATCACACCACTGCACACCAGCCTGGTGACAGAGCAAGACTCTGTCTCAAAGAAAAAAACAAAAGAGTCCAAAATAGATCTGTACATAGATAGCCTATCAATTTTTGGCAAAGGTCCCAAGGTAATTCAATGGAGAAAGGACAGCATTTTCAACAAATAATGCTGGAATAATAAATCCATAAGCAAAACAAATACAAAGATCAACAAAATTCAACTCCTTACCCTACACAATTTAATGAATTGAAGCAAAATGGATCATAGACCTAAAAAGTAATAGTTACAACAATAAAACTTCTAGACAGAAACATAGGGACAGATCGTTGAGATCCTGAGTTGGGTGAATATTTTCTTAGGACTCAAAATGTACAAACTATAGAAGAAAAAATCAATTGTCATCAAAATGCAAAACTTCTTTTCTTCGAATGACACTGTCAAGAAAATAAAAAGACAAGACACACTAAAAAATATTTGCAAAACACTTATCTGATAAAGGACTTATATCTGGAATATATAGTCTTACACCTCAGTAATAATAATACAAACAATCTTATTTTTTAAATGGTCAAAAGATTTGAACAATTTACTGGAGAATATATATGAATGACATTAACGCAGGAAAAGACACTTGATATCATTAATCATCAGAACATTACATATTAAAAACACAATAAGATACCACAGCACACCTATTGCAATGGCTAAAATTTAAAAGTTAGACCATACTAAATGCTGGTGAGGATGTGGAGCAACTGAAATTCTCATAATTACTTATCAGAATGCAAAATAGTACAGCCACTTTGGGAAACTGGAAATTTCTTATAAAGTGAAACATTTACATACCATATAATCCAACAATCTCACTCCTAAGTATTTACTCAAGAAAAATGACAATATGTGTCCACAAAAAGGCCCATATGTAAATGTGCATAACAACTTATAATAGTAAAAATGGGAAACAGTCCAAATGTCCATCAATGTGTAAATGTTTAAATAAATTGTATACTTTGTATAATATTTATACAATGAAATACTACTCCATAATAAAAACAAAGTAACTACTGCTACATAAAACCACATGGATGAATCTCAAAATCATTATGCTCAATGAAAGAAACCAGACATAAAAGACTATATACTATACAATATATTCAATATGGCATTCTTTAAAAAGGAAAAATTATAGAGATGGAAAATAGATCAGTGGTTGCCAAGGATTGGGTGTGGGGATAGGGATTGAGTATAAAGGGCAGTGTAAGGGAATTTTAGGGATGATGAGACTGTTCTATATCTGTGGTGATGCTAAACAACTTGTTGCATTTGTTAAAAACCTACAGAAGTACGTATCAGTAAGCGAATTTTACTGTATGTAAATTTTAAGCTATTTACCAGTTGTGAGGGGTACTTAAAATGGAATGCAGACTATGACAAATGACTCTGTTATAGATGACTCACCTAACCATGCTGAAGGGAGTGAGGAAGCAAAAAGCCAACCTAAGTAACTTTGGAAAACTATTTTGGCTGAAAGTTGAAGGATGAAGACAGAAAGGTACAGTCCACAAACACTGTACTCTAGTGGGTAAATTTGTTCCTTGGAGGAGTTGAGTGAGCAATTCTAAAGCTACCTTATGTACGTACTAGCACTAAACAAATAAGCAAATATGTGGTAGATAATGAGTACCATTTCTGTGTCTGAGAAGGAAGTTATAAATAAGGAAAGGGGTGAAGGCAAAAATGGACCCTGCGATGCTGGATCAGAGTTGGAGGTAGCAGTAAAAATTCATGGGTATTTTAAAATATATGTATAAATACCACTTGGTTGAGTTTTTTTTTTTTTTAAAGAAATAAAAATAATAGGCCGGGCGCGGTGGCTCAAGCCTGTAATCCCAGCACTTTGGGAGGCCGAGACGGGCGGATCACTAGGTCAGGAGATCGAGACCATCCTGGCTAACAGGGTGAAACCCCGTCTCTACTAAAAAATACAAAAAGCTAGCCGGGCGACGT